CATAAGGTGGCAATTCGCGGTGAGTTTCAACGGAAGCGTGGTTACGCTCTTCGAGGGCATAAGGTGGCAATTCGCGGTGAGTTTCAACGGAAGCCGAGGGTCTAGTTGCTTGCTTTCATTAATATCGACGGCGCCATTGATTACTACAACACGGTGGCGACTTTTGACCGTATATATTTCGTGCGATGTTGTCAAGATTTTGCGTATTTCAAGAGAGCGGGGGCTCGACCTTACCCAAGGCAAATTCGGTGTGGATACGTGATGGGGCATCCATCCACCGACATCCTGAAATCATGCACTATCTTAGAAGCATTTGAATTGCCGATTTTTCTTCCTGGTTATTGCCGTTTTTCAATCCCATTGAATTCATGTTGGCTACGCGAAAAAAGCGTTTTGGTGCTTTTACGTGGAGTCCAGTGATCGTGATTTGATGCCTTTCATCATGGAGACGTTCCGGCGCTTCGAAAGGGTCAGCATGGCCCGAGTACTTAAACACTGCGGCTGGATGGCCGACGGTACCTTAAATCCTGTAGGACCATTGCCATTCGAGACGCGACCAGTTCCAGATATGCATCAAGATTTGGGCGAGATTGAAAAAAATTTAGATGAGGATGTTTTAGGATTTCGTACGCTAAGATTGAATGCTTCTGATTAGTAAAATGTAAATAAAATTTCGGAATAATTGCTAGTACTGGAGCAACCCGGTGCTTCAGCCATCTATTGGAGCTCGATGTCTTCATTACTATCCATATTATCCAGCGGATCGCCAAGATCGAGAAGGTCGGTGTGGTGGAGGAACGACTCGATCTGATCCTTGCGTGTCTGAAGGCTTATTTCGAAGCATTCTAAACGGCGCCAATATATATCCCAGTCGTTGCGAGGTTGAACAGCCTCGGCAATGGATGCGTTCACACAGTCGAGCGCCCTGTGTGTTGATTGATTGATACTATTGAGATGCTTGCAATTGCCGAGCAGATGGAAGGGGTGATTGACGAGCTTTCGGCATCAGAGTGGAAAGTAGGTGCAGTTGTGACTGACAATGCCGGCCAATGCAGTCGTGCACGCCGTATATTGGCACCTCGCTTCCCAAATATCGCCGTTTTACATTGCTTCGCACACGCTATCAGCAACCTGGTGAAAGCTGTTTTAAAATCGGGGTTTAAAAAGATTTCCGAAGAAGCTACAGAATTTGCGAGTTTTCTGAAAAGCCCTCACATCAAGAACTTACACGGCGCGTATCACCATATCCGTTGCGCGTACGTACTCCAACTCGTGTCGATTCATCCCTAGCTCTCAATGCATCTCCTCGACTGAATACACCACAAGCACGAACTCCGCAGCTGTCCAGACATCAGCTGCATACACCTCGACCACCAATGCCGACACGGGCACCAGGTTCTCGTGACCCACGGCGCACATCAGCGCAGGCAACGCGCACATCTCCACCACCGTCGGACCAGTTTCAACTGGCTATCAAGCCCATCATTAAGAGCTCAGTTGGGCAGCGTGAGACGTCTGGTGAAACGCTGAGTAACTGTCTGGTTGACGGCGCTACGTTCCAAGATAGAATAAACAAATTAAGGGAGGAGTTCTGTCCTCGCATTAAAGGCCAGGCTGTCAAGCATGATGGTGACTGGTCAGTTGAAGCTCCTTCAATTGAAGCATGGTCGAAGGTGATTCAGCTCAAGTACAATAATCACATCGTTGATAGCGATAAGACTGAACATGCATGGAATCTCTGGATGGCCTCAAAGCGTGATAAGACTGTGAAACTCCTGATTTACGAATATGGTCTTGCTATTTCAAACAAACCAAGACCTGGAATCTTTTTTGAGTGCCTGCATTCGTCCTTTAGAGACCGATCGAGCGGGGGCAGCAGCAGGGAGCTCTCTGCGAGAAGTGGTCCAGCAATTGCAAGAGCATTGGGGGCCCATTTTTCAAGCAGAAGCAGTGGTGTGGAGAATGTGGGGAAACCACATCACTCGCAACCTCAACCGCTCCACCTGGAGTGACGCAGTATCGCAGTCGCCTCCCGATGATATTGCTCGTCTTCTAAGAAATGTGGACTCTGAAGATCGTCAGCAGCTGGCACACCTGTCAAGGTCAGCTCAAATGGCGTTAGACTGTAATTAATGCATCAATAGCTGATCATCATCAGTTGTAGCATGATGTGGAAGTGCTAACGCGACGCTTGGACATTAAAAAAAATGTTTTGCTGTCCTAAAAATCTATTATAGAGGGATTTCTCCGTGATATCCAGCTGTGATGTAGTAGAAACACACAAATATCGTCAGATGTGGAATTCCTTACACAAACCACAACGAATCGCCGAGTTAGGTCGGCGGTTTGTATGGCCTGCGCAGAGAGTGGCCCCCTCGCGGTCCGACCCTTCCGGAACAGACGAGTGGCTCGCTTCCACCCGGTTCCGACTAACCAAGTCAGATCACTACCGAGGCTCCGCCGAGTTTGGTTCGGCTGAGCTCGTTTACAGCCCTGTGCCCTCCACCAAAGGATGGACGACGGCGCGCGAGCGCTTTTACAGGTCACCGAGTGCAGAGGCAGCTCAGCTAGAAGTGTTACGGCACCCGGGCTATCCGACGTACCGGCCCGCTGAGTATGCGGGACTTTCTTTCGCGCGTAGCGAGACTTTGTCCTACCCGGACCGACCTAATCTCTTGGCGCTACCAGTCAATACCCTACAAGCTATGCCTCTCGAGTATTGACGGCAGGCATAATCCAGCCCTATGCAGGGACTTACCGGAAAAGTGTACACGTGTCTTGGACTAGGAAAATTCTGCTCTGTTATCTTCTGGGAGCCCTTTCGGCTCCCCCTACTTAATCCTATGCTTCTCATACAAATATCTAATGAAATGTAGTCGTTTCGGATCTCTACCGACCCTTCAGCTGAGTTCCGGCGACCGTTGAGCTCAGCGGCTGTCCGGATAGCATATCCGGACAGATCGCCGAGTAGTTACCGTGATCCTTGGCTCCTAAGCTCTGGGTTATCAGACCGAGCCGATTCTTGACCTAAAGTAGGTCGGCGTATGGTCGATCCCAGCCGCCACCTGCAAGTGCAGTAGCAGATCCACTGGAAACACTTGAGAACATCGATGACTTCGAGCATGAAGAGTAGATTAAGAACTTGGGTCATTATTACGTTGGATTACACCTTTCAATAAACTCTAAGTTCACGTCTTCTACTTCAGGTCTCACACTTTCATCCCAGATGTCAGGAACATGACGCTTTTCGGTGGACATAGGTCCGGTAGGGTCAAAATGACCCTGTATTTTATAGCCACAATGCTCGAATACTCTACCCATGTAAAAGTCTTCGAACCTTCGAAAAGTCCTCACTACAAATGGCAATAAATCGCGACCACTTGACTCGCTGTAATAGCGTTGAAACGCACGCTTGACATAACCGAACATATATTCGATAGGATTCAAGAAGGGACAATAAACTGGCAGGAATATTGGCACAATGCCAATGCTCCGGAGAAACTGATCAATCTCCGGATGTCGATGAATCGACCCCCATCCAAAATCCAAACAGAATGTGATCCAGGGTACAGACGAACGTTGCTTTTCTTTGAGTAGGCAAAGTCTTGACAGCACTTCAGAAACTCAGCTCGATCGAATGTGGCTTCTGTGGCGTAGTAACCAGTTAGTCCATGCAGATTAATAAAAACCAAAACTGACACTCTGGGCTGCCGCTGGAAGTCGCCCCTAACTGCGAGTTTCTTTCCCTTGAGAGAGTAGCCACGCTTTCGAATCATACCGCGATTATCGAAAGAAACTTCGTCAAGGATAACTAAATTGTGATGACACCAGTCGATACTGCTCAACTCTGCAACAAAGCGAAATACGTCGTGCTCCTTGATGTGCATAGCACGACGTTCCGGCACTTTGTATGTAAGTACACAGCCATGAATAATTTTCCACACACTTGACTTCGAGATGCGAATGTGGCTGGCCTTCTGGAAAGCGTCTTGCGCTTCATCAAGGTAAGCAAGTGGTGATTTTGAGTAGAAATCACACAGCCATTTTCTGTGGTCCGCAGTGAACTTTCTGTCGGTCGAGGCTTTAGCACGCTGATAGGTTCCAGTCCTCTCGTAAGCTTGAATCCAATGGCCAATTGTTTTTTTATTCTTGTTGTATATGTGCGCAAGTTGTGGTCGAGTGTAGCCAAGATGATAGAATCCATACAAACAGTGAAAAACTGTTTTTGGATGAGAGTGCTGCTTTGTAGCAGCTTCCTCCATAACTAAGTGTCAAACTCGTTGCTTTAACTGCAATCTTCGCAAAATAAGCTTTTTTAGTCAATAGGCATACCAGTATAGGACAGTTGCAAGATATAGACAAAGTAGATGTCATCATTCTTGGCATCGCTCTACATCTTACCGAAGTCGGTTCCCCCACGCAGACTCGGCTTACTAGCACGGCGATTCTCCTTGCCGGTCAGCTGCTTCAGGTGTGGCTGGCAGACCACACTAGTTCTTGGTACGCGCGTAGCCTGCTAGAGTCTGAAAAACACTCGCTTTAAGTCTAGTTGCAGCAATGCCTCTGGGCTTCTTCTACATGTACCCATTTATTTATGTCCAATCAAGTGGAGGTGTGGGTTGAGCGAAGGTTTACTCCCCAAAGCCGGAAACTTCGACAAAAATAGCAATACCAACAGATCAATACTGGTAAGTATTTAAGCACACATAAATTAAGATTATTCCGCACGATGGGCTCGCTGTTTCTCGATGAGGGTGATTCGGGAAGGCATCTTAGCGACAAACGGTAAGGTTGCAAATGAACCAGATCTCCCTTCGTTCTGAGCGAGTTGTACAAACCTCGGGCTTTGGCGCGAGTCGAGCAGAGCCTGCCGTTTTGGCGCGAATCAGTCGCGCAAATCTTGTTCGAGGTTGATTGCAGTTTTTCAATTACTGATTAGGGGCTTCTACCGTAATGTTCCTACTACAGTATTTGCCAATTTTTAAGTTACGAGTTTGACTGTAGTAGTACTTGGTATACACTCTAACGCTCCGTTTTTTTACTTTTAAAAGCGGGGATACTCCATACACTGGCGTCTACTACACGCGGGGTGGTCCTACCTACGACCTTGCAGTTCACCCATTTCGGCTACAGACATCCTTCTAAATCTCCCCCTTCTTGAGTGCTTCTGTCGGCAAGTCGGTCGATCTCTTTATCTTTTCTTGGATTGTGCTAACTCGTGTGGAATCCAATCCACAGTGGATTGCTTTCGTCCCAGTCCTCACAAGAGACGAAAACGGAGCGCGTAATGTGATGATGGACATTCCCGATGATAACGATCTACTCAGCAGAGCTCTGAAGACCTGCCTGTTGCTTGTGTGTCTGTTGATTCACTTGGTCGCGCACCTGTGACGCCTTGTGCAATAGCTGGATCATTTGTTCCTTCAGCACCGGGTCCTCCTTCGGTCTCTCACGACCTTGTACGACCATGGACGTCTCGGAGTAGCTGCTCAACGGCACGAGATCAGACGAACCGGCGTTGTTCGTAAGTTGTCCGCCATTCTGACGTGCTGGCACAATTTGAGACGATGCTGCCATGGCACGGGCAACTTTACTCTGTGCTTCTCTCCGCTCCTGCACCATAACCATGGCCAAGTGCGCCAGGTTCTGCATCGTAGCGATCTGCGACTCTTGCAGAGACTCCCGGGGAGCCGTGTCCAGCACACACACAGCACCAACACACTCATTATCCACTGTGAACAATGGCGCGCCGGCCAAGAAGCGGACACCTAACGGGCCCGTCACAAACGGGTTCGTTCTGAAGCGTGGGTCCCGTAATGTATCCATGACCACAAGCGGTCGCTGGTCTCGTACCGGGTACTCGCAGAAGCTGAAGTCTCGCGGCACCTCGGACTCCTGAACGTTCACAGCACTCTTGAACCACTGGCGGTTCTCGTCTACCAGACTGACAACCGCGTACTTGCAAGCCAACGTCTGAGCTGCCAGATCACATAGTGTATCGTAGATATCCACCTGCTCCTCGGGCGTCCCACCCATGTCCTTCTGCTGAGAGTCGATACGTAGTCGTTCCATCAAGGCATTAACCATAGCCTTACTCTCCTGGTCTCTGGCTGCTAACTGTTGTAGCCAGGCAATCCCGACGAGGTCGGGGACAGTAGACACCTGAGCTCCAGGTAGAGCCAAGGCGTATTCCTCCACTGCGTCTCGTAGGATCGAGTTGTCCACGCCTTCAGGCAACGGCACGCTGTCAGCTGTGACTCCATTCGCTACGGCCGCCACAGCGGCTACAGCTTTGAGATTGGCCTCTTCCTTCTCGCGATCGGTTGCTGTAGTGGACGTGCCGTCCATACAGGCTTTACACACCCGTAGCATCGTTAATCCGACCGACTGCAAGTCCACACTCTTGTAAAGTGAGCACGCTCTACAGATGATCTCTCCGCATGCACGACAGTGATGTTTACGCCGCGTATTCGTGAACGTCTTGAGACACAAGTGGCAGCACGCGCGGTCCTTGTCGTTCACCCACGTGGGCACTCGGCGTTTGGTCAGTTCCTTGGAGATGCGACGTCGACTGATGGCCTCTTCGATGCCACCTACGCCCCTCGCCCCAGTGGGCCAATATAGAGGCGGGTCCCAGCGGGCGTTTAATGCGTGGTCCTCTGGGGGTTGGGGGAAGATTGTAAAAAAAAGTGGGGTTTCAACCACCCGTTCTTCCCAATGTTGGACGCGAGATGAGCCGCACTTGGACACACTTGCGCGCTCGAGTTTGTGCGAGTCATAAAGCGATGGACACTCGGCCTGGTCGATGGACTCATAGAGACACACGCCCACAGGTGTGCCCTTGCTAGAGGACGAAGAGCCTTGAAGTGTACTGCTGTTACCGTCTACTAGTTCCGACGAGATGACCCCCGCGTATTCGAAAAAGCAAAAATCGACGCCCACCTGTCCACCAATACTGGCCACGCTCTTCTTGGTGCGGGCCGCTGTCCACTTGATACTCAGCGCCTCGGACTCGTTTTGTTCCTTGTGGAAGAGCACGGCAGCGTCCGCGAAGAACTCGCGAAGCTGCAACTGCATCAACGAGCGGTAGTCCACCGTGTTCTGCGCTAGAAAGATGTCCATGACGTCGTCCAGTGACGCGCGCACGGGCCCCACTGCGCGGATAGAGTACGTGAGTCCGCCCTTCTGCCGGTCCTCGCACAGCTGGACGCCCTTCCGTTCATGAATCATTGTCCACTCCACGTCGGGCTGACGCACTAGATCAGGAACGAGCGAGCGGCCCCAGGCCAACAGCTCAGTCTGCTCGATGTCCGATAGCTCTGGAGCCTTGAAGAAGCCGCTGCGTAGCGGCAATGACCGCACCATGACGCGAGAGCTCTTTGTGCTGCTCTAAAAACGAAAATGCGTGTCAGCCAAGTCGTCGGGTACTGTAGGCGACTGGCCCTATTGTTGTGCGGTTGTCTGTGCGAGGCAAGACTTCGGAAGACGATATCGACTTCGGGGAGGAAAGACAGAGACGAGTCGCTGTGTGTAACGTGGAGCTGGGACTGTGCCACAGAACGTCGGGTGGATACAAATGCATCGTTTTTGCAGCGCAATCATCAAACACGTCGCCCCTCCTCAAGACAGGGTGACCATTGATATTACAGGCCCAAGGTACATGTAATGCGTCACGCCATTTGATGTGCTAGAAGATGCGATACGTTTTCTCTTTTTAGCGGTGCTGAAAAAGAGGTCATCTCTCTCGGTACAGACACCGGACGCAGTCGGTGGTAGCATTTCACAAGTTTCGGGGCAACCTGCTTACAAGATCACTGCCACCGAACTTCAAGGCCAGTCAGCGCTGTAGCCACATTAACCCGACAGAGCAGTAACGTTCTGCTGGGCGGCGTTGGAGAGCAGTCTCATGATGTTTGCATTTATGCATGGCAAACGAGATGGCTCCTCAATGAGCCTTCGGATGGCAAGCTGCAATGCGCTGGTGACCACGTGGCGGCAAGATGGGCCGGGCAAACCTCCTTTTATCGATCGTATCTTATAAATTATATGACTATTACGAGGTAATGAGCATGGACACATGCATAACCTTTATTTTTAACGGGTTAGCTGAAGAAATATCAAGGGGGCTTCCATCAACTCTCCGAAATCCTCTCATTCATAATGCGAATCATTCCGATATTTTAACGTGAAGGTCAAAGTGTAAGAAAATATCAAAGGATAGCCTGATTGGACAATTCACTTTGGAATAACCCATACCAACTGAGAGGTCTCAGCACAGCGAATTCGCGCCATCCGGTGACGTGCAAAGCCAGGTCTATTGTTTGAATTGCTGACCATCACTCCTTCCGAGTCCCCCCATCCACGCAGCCCCCTCTCGCTCCCGCCTCCCCCCAATTCTGCCGTTCACACACTCCAGGAAACACTCGTGTAGGGTAAAGCGCGGCAAAATCCCAGTAGACACCACACAGCCCTACGAGGTCTTCCAGCCGTCGTTGACTTCATAGTAGGTCTGTAGTATCTCGCGCCCCCCTCCTCGTCGCCACGTCGGCCCACTTATTCCTACCTCGTTATTAGACACCGCCATGTACACGTCGTCCGCCCCCGGACCGGCCCGTGGCCGCGGCGGCAACCCGAACGCGGGTGTGCCGCCCCCACAACAGCAGCAGCCACAACAGCTCCGCGGACCAACGTCAGGTAACCCGGGCGCCCCACCGCAACTGGCCACAGCGGCTACTAGCCGCGTAGGTGAGATGCTGGACCAGGTTAAAGCCGAGTACGAGGCTGCCATTCAGCAGCTTAACATGGCCAAGATGGAACAGCTCGAGATGGAGCGCAAGATTCAGTCGCAGGTCGTGGAGATGGACCAGATCCAGCAGTCGCTTAAGGCGCTAGAGGCCAATCACCGCCGTATCCGTCAGCAGTACGAAGAGGACATGCTGCGTATGCGCAGGCAGCTCGAGACCGGCCAAGTGCCGCAACAGCAGCAGGTGCCTCCCCAACAGCAGGCCGTTCCGGCCAAGCTCCCGGCCAAACGCTCTCGTGCTCCGCCCACTAGTGGCAGCATGCAGGAGGACTCCAACTCACTAATGTCGAATCTCGTGGCAGCCGCCACGTCGTCCGGCCGCGCCGGGGTGGCCAGCTCTCAGCAGCGAAGTGGAAGCTCTCCTGTGCGCGTTGTACCCGTCCAGCCGGCCTCACGAAGCCTGCAGCAGCTTGGCCAGCAGCCCCCTCAGCTTCCGCCTCCTCCTCAGGGAGGCAACACGAACCCACCGCCACAGCTCAGCCCTTTGGACACGAGCCAGGCCAACACGACTCCGTCTTCACGTCGCATGCCCAGCATTAATAGCGAAGTGAACGGTAAAGACCGTGCTGCGTCGCCCCCAGCCCTGAAGAAGTCGAAGCTCAATGGCTCGGAGCCCAGTATCCCCAGTCTGAACGGGAATGGCAAGGGCGCGCTTCCTTCCGTTAGCTCGACCGGCAACGCCTCTACATCAAGTGGAATGCTGCCCCAGGTGTCCAAGATGAACCGTGAACAGGGATCGGCCAGCACGAACTCAAGTCCCAGCGCTGCTAACCAGTCTCAGAACGCGTCATCCAACTCTACAAAGACTGAGAGTGACAACACGGAGACCAGTCGTCCGTCCGCCAGTGCCACGTCGACGCTGTCAGCAGCTTCCGGGAACAATACGACCCAGAAGAGCTCCAACACGAAGGCTAGTCGTCTCAACTGGAGTTGTGTATACTCGTCCAAGACGAGCATGTCGTACCAGGAGTCGGAGCGTCCGGCCGCTGAGATGCATCAGTCTATGGACCACCAGAGCGTTGTGTGCTGCGTACGCTTCTCGTCTGACGGTACCATGATGGCTTCGGGCTGCCACAAGACGGCACAAGTTTTTGATGTCAAGACTGGAGACCGCAAGTTCCTGGTGTCGCGTCCTGCTGGATCCGGACAGACGCCTACGTCGCAGTCCAATGCTGCGGCCAACGAGCCTGACGACGCTTATGTTCGCGCTGTTTGCTTCTCGCCAGACTGTTCAAAACTCGTTGCAGGGATGCCGCAGAACACTATCCGTGTGTGGGATATCGCGTCGAACGAGGAAGGCCCAGCCATGACTGGCCACGAGTCGGAAATCTACTCTCTAGACTACGTGAACGACTTGATTGTGTCTGGTTCTGGGGACCGCAAGGTGCGTCTCTGGGATGCTCGCAATGGCCAGTGCAAGAAGATTTTCGGCAACGAGAGCGGTGGCCCGTCGGACGGTGTGACGTCGGTGGCGCTGTCACCGGATGGACGACTTCTCGCTGCCGCGTCGCTGGATAAGGTTGTACGGATTTGGGACACGGAGACAGCACAACTATTGGACCGACTGGAAGGCCACAGCGACTCGGTGTACTCGATCGCGTTCTCGCCTGATGGCAAGAACGTGATCTCTGGCTCGCTTGACCGCAACATCATGCTGTGGGACGTGTGTGCTCAGGGCCGCACGACGACACGGCCGCGAATGCTTTTCCAGGGCCACAAGGACTTTGTGCTTTCAGTCGCCTACACGCCTGATGGAAGGTGCGTTCAATGTCATTGTCTCCCTCCCGTTATGTCAGCCTCATTGCTAACTGTATGCTGTTATATTTTATTCAGGTGGTTGATGTCCGGTTCCAAGGACCGATCTGTGGTGTTCTGGGATCCGCGTTCGTCTCGCTCTGTGCTGACATTGACGGGCTACCGGAATTCCGTGATAAGTGTGGCGTCGTCCCCAGCGTCCCCCTACTTTGCAACGGGAAGCGGAGACTGCTTTGCTGTGATCTGGAAGTACCAGTGCCAGACTTTTTAAACTATACATCAAGTCGACGCGACGCGATGACGCACTCAGGACAAACAAGTGTGAACTCGGAGCAAACCAAGTGAAGCGCAGCGGATAAATTTGAAGTCGTGACGCTTGCGGCAAGCGCGTGGTGATACGAGTTGGTCTTGGAAGACGTGTGCGTTATCAGCGAGCGAGACTGAGAGAGAAGAAGGCATCGAAACGAATCAAGACGAAAAAAAAACTTTTGTGCGATGGCCGACAACATTAGGCAGAGTAAGGAAGACGCGCGATGCGTTCTCCTGAAGTGAATTGAGAGGGTGGATAGTGCGTGTGCAATGGAATGGATTCTGAACAAGCCAAGTGTGTGGCGGTGCATAGCCGTATTTAGGTAGTCGCGGCCACCGAGTCTGCATAGATACATTTTGTCATCTCACTTTGGTCCTGTTGCATGAGTCCCAGTTGTTTCAACTTCACAAAATCAACTTTTGTCAGTATTTTTATGTGTCACTTTCAATCGGACACCGCGCTAAATACGCCAACTTCAGCCTCACATCGGATTCCGACGATGCGGCTCGCGATGATGCGCGTCGCGGCGTCTAGTGGTCGCTTTGGGGCTCTGCCGGCGCTGACAAATGGCTCAATATCTTTATCAGGCCGCCAGCTCTGCCCCACACGGAACCCGCGCGCTCTGTATGTGCGAAGGCGATACCACAGCTCGGACAAGCAATCCCAAGTGTCACCACGTTCTCCAGCGCCCGATATGAGCGAGCCTGAGATGGTTTTGCGCCTCATGCGTAGCCAGCGCGTCTGGTGGTGGATGGGCTCGCTTGTTCTGGGCGGTGTGGGACTTGTAGCTTTTGGACCTGAGCTCAAGCTCGGTATGAGTAAACACACCGCCGAGGTAGCGTCTCGCTCGCTGCAGGACGAAACACTACGCGATAACTCGCGGGAGCTAGCGTCACAGATCGTGCAGACGGTGCTGAATGACCCCAAGGTGCTTGATCAAGCCTCTAGGTTCCTGCAAAGGGTACGACAAGACATTTTCGTATTGTTATGATTGCAACATTTGTTTTGATAGGATGGATAAAGTGGTGCAATCACTTTGAAACAAACTATTTGCTGATAATTTGCTTTCTCCATACAGCTTGTAGTGGTGGAGACGACGCGCGAAGCTCTGAGAGCATTGGTGATCCATACACTAAACGATCCAATGACGAGGACACAGGTAGCGGACATCACGAAGCACACGGTGGCAGCGTTACTGGAAGACCCCAAGACTCTGCGTCAATTGGTCGATTTGTTGCGCTCGACTGTAGTGGATCCACAGGCGAAAGAAGCTCTGTTGCTGCTATTGGAGCAAATTATGCGTGACGACCAGACTCGAGCCAACTTGACTCAATTATTGGCGCACACGTTCCTGCAAGACGCAGTGAAGCAGAACGTGACCAAAACGCTCGGAGACTCGGTACACGACGTGTTGAGTCGTGGAGACATTCAGAACCACGCCAAGGAGTTTGTCAGCGGTGTGGTTCGGGACCAAACAGTGCAGGCTCAGAGCGGGGAAGCCATCTGGGGCACCTTCATGTACGCTTTAACTCCCGGTTGGCTGTCGTGGATCTGGGAGAACCCGGACAAAGTGGTTAAAGACGGAGCCACGACGCCAGCAGCGGAGGCGGCGAAGGTCATGGTGGCGGCCACTGCAGCTGAAGATAAACTGGAGAAGCAGAAGAAGGAAGCTGAGACGAAGGATACGTCGAGCTCGTTGAAGCTTAGGAAGAGGACGAAGACGGAGCAGGATCCGAAGAGTGATCTAGCGGAGATTGCGTCATCACAAGCGGACTTCGCTGAGCGATACGAAGATCGACACTGGAGTGGCTCGGGCAGTGGCTTTGTGGGATGAAAGACTTGAAATTCAGAAACGATTCTAGAAATTTTAAATCAATTATCGGACTTTTGTGTTAGTTACTTAAAATCGACCGTAGACGAGCGAGTCAAGACGATGCACCTGCGTCAGAAGCTCGTTGTTCTGACGTTTAAGTCGCAGCTTGTCGCCTGCTAAGAGTTGATTCTCTTCGCGTGCGACGCCCAGTTGTTCTTGTAGTTGAGCGGCTGCAGCTTCAGCACTTTGAGCTGCACGTCTCCAGGACTCAGCTTTGCGTCGTGCGTGTCGATATTCGTGTTCTGTGTGTTTACGCTCGGCTGCTGCCACTCGAGCCGCGTCACGTAGCGTTTGTATCTCTTGGAGAAGATCACGCTCACGTGTCTTAGCTTGAGCGTTCTCCACTTCAAGTGCTCGCAGTGCGGCCTCAACGCGCTGGAGAATATGCAACTCCGCTTGGGAGGACTCTCCTTCTTCATAGGAAGCAGGATCTCGCGAAGACTGCTGTGTTCGCACTGATACTCGGAAAGGCGAGGATACAGAAGACGAAGTGAGTTTCACGCCTCGAGAGGTGCGTCTTTCCTCCGACGCAGAGCTTTGTCGTAAGCTCCGTCTTCTGAATTGTACACGTTCATGTTCATCGTCGCTGAAATCGTCTCGTCGACGAGAGCAGCGTGTAGAATGTTGGTGGGTATCACTGTCAGAAGAAGACGAGTACTGGTATTCCGGAGTAGAAATTCGAGTTCCGCTTCGTCTACGCCATTCCGTTGTCGGCGGTATCGTTGTCGACACGGAAGAGATGGACGAAATGGACGCTTGAGAGTCTGCGTATGCGGTTGGTTCAAGTACTTGTGGAGGCGAGCCACTGGAAGAATCAACAGTGTAGTCGAGATCGCTACTGTTAATTGCTGGTCCATCGCAGTGTTCCCGAACTCGACAGGTGATGATCGCCGGACGTTCCGGTAACGCACTAGCGACTTCTGATGAGGAGTTGAGTCGTCGTATAGGCAGGTTGTCGTGTGAAGACCCCACCTCGGGTTGAGCTAGTTCCGAGCTTGACATTTCACGCGAGCCTTGTCTTCTCAATGGCGATTGCTCTCTATGAATTGATGACGCCACTGTCGCCTCATTAGCCGACAGTCTGGTCTCTCCGCTTCCAGCAAATTCAGCAACACTCGTGAGAGGTGAAAGTAGAGGAGCAACAGGTGACGCTCCTGATCGAGTGGAAGAACTGGATGTTGGCCTTCGGTGCTGATGAGCCTGTTGCTGGACACGTCGAACTTGCGCCATCCACTGCTGGCAATGAGCACCCGACGGTGCCATGAGTTCTTCTTTCAAGACGCCTTCGCTCCTAGTAGATGGTAGTGAGTAGTATTCTAAGTTGCACCTCGCTTTGTTCTTCTTGGGTACAACGTTTACAAGTTGGGTGGCCAAGTCGATCGTGATGATCTCCATCTCGTTGTCAATTTCATCCTGACTCTCTTCATCTCTTGGAGGCGACTGCAACTGCAACAAGAGGTTGCCATCTTGTGCCACAATGGTGCAACTGCATGGCCTCCATTCGAACAACTTGGTCTCAGCGTTGCGCACTTTGCGCTTGAGTCTGAAGTCGAAGCTTTCGGCCGTGCTTGACATTATTGTCTTTAACAAGTCAGAACAAGAGCTACAAGGGTATAAATATCAACGTCGGTCGGCTCATTCATAACCAACCCTGGTGCTATTAATAAGTTAGGAGCTCACGTTCCAAAGTGGAACCACTGACGAAGTTACCTTAGCGATTTTTTATTAATTTGTGTAAGCAGTGTAAGTGAATCTCTTCACACTTTCCCAGTGCGAATAACCATCCACCATCTGAACGCGGTAATATCACGCCAGCGTAAGCCGCAAATGCTGGAAGTGTGCGAGCGAGTTTCCGCGGCCTGTCAAGCCTTCGCTAAGGCTTAATGAAGTATAAGTTTGTCAAAAAGTCGAAGAAGGCGTAGTGTCTGTGGTGGATTATTCAGTGACTAGACTAACTGAGTCATTCAAATAGAATTTATGTAAGCAAATTGGTTACGCCAAATGGAAATAAAATACACAAATGAGTTTCTCGGCATACTTCAGAATTTAATTCACTGGTTTCACTACGTACTTCCTCAAGATTTTGTTACAGTAAAACCTCTCCTACCTGATATGACGCGTCGACTCCTCTATCAGGTATAACAGCATATCACGTTACTCAGGTCATCGTCAGCTAAAAGGTCCACTGCTAGAGTTAGAAAATATGTATAAGGCGCCAACATCCACCTCTACTCCAAATTTCCATCCGCGATTGGTTATTCGTTTATGGCGAACATCCGGCGAATCTCAAATCTACAATACAGAAAATATTTATGCATTTTGAAAGTGACAAGGTTATATATGCTTGGAGAAGATCTTGATCGTCGAAGACGACGTTGCCGATGTCTCACAATGTAACGGGGTACGTAGCCCTAAGTGTACCCTGGTTACATGAAGTGTGACACTTCACACTTCAGGAGTATGACACGTCATACTCCGAGATATTTGGTACAAGGTACCAAGGTCGTTCAAAGCCAACCATTGGTTAAATGACATTGCATTTCTATAGGTAACTAACAGTTTACAGTTTGTATTTTTTAACAGTTTGTATTAAACCCAAACTTAATCTACCTATAAATATACTCAGTTTACAATCTACCTTATTTGGGTCACTTCGCTCTCTTTCATAAAAGAGGGGACCTGTGAACTGCCGTTCACTGAGAGTTTGTATACTCTCGGAAGATAACTTCCTCTTGCGCAAGGTGCTGTGTGACCCCGTCACACACAAACTGCCGCTTCAATATACTTGCATCCTACACAGCCTTCTACAAGGAGACCCGCCAGCACATTATGTTGTGGAGTCCTGCGGGCGCCCGACAGAGATCGCCGCACACACTAGTATCGCCGTATCTACCGCGTCCTATTGGACGAAGGTCTCTTCGTACTTCGACAGAAGTCTCGATTCAGCCGATGCAATCAGCGGCAACTTCTCGGTCAGCTCACAACTCCAATGCATTTTATACTCCCCCAGTTCTAAGATCACCACACACCCGACGTTGCGGATGAAGATATTGCGTCTCCAAGACTCCACCACCTGTGCCATCGACATCTCCACCACTTCGTCGATCGCCCCGGTTAGCTGGGCAAGCAAGAACATCACGATGTTGCGGGTTTGCCGACAGAAGAAGCCCCACGGCCAGTCTCTCATCTTTCTCTGCATGTCGTTCGCTCAATCGTCAAGACAGTATGACGAGCCACTCCGTGACGACAGTGTCGTATTTCCTCGTCGTCATGGGTATGACTTCGTATCTAACTTCGACGGACCCGTCGCCGTGGGCTCACTCACTACTGTCTAGTAGCTAGCAAGCTAAGGAAGATGCCAGGATAACTTTACTTTTAATCTTAGCTAGTGATGACGAGTACATGTTTGTAGGTCTACATGCCAAACCGACGGCTTCTTCGCCAGCGATGAGAGTGATGATCAAGTTGAAAAGTGGTAAAGACCGCTTTGAAGCGCTTCTGGACAGTAAGTGCTCTCGAAGCATTATCAGTACAGAGTTTATGCTGTGTTACCGCGTCAGGGTGCTCTACTCAAGTCGTCCGACGTTACGTTTGATTTCGTCAAAGGAGCAGCAAGGAGCCAGGGAGCGATGATTGTTCGGTCCAGGATCCCTCAGCTTAAGCGAGACTCTGTCATTGTTCATCAATTTGAAGTACTTCCAGCTCTTGCGGACGATATGACGATTGCGCATGACCTTATGACCGCACTCGGCCTAATGATTGGACGAGGATGTATTGAATATGATGGTAGTGAAACGATGGTTCGCGCTACCAACATAAATCATTCAGCGTCGCGAGCGACTAAACCCGGCTTAGTGGAAGTCGGAGATGACGAGTCAGATACGACGAGTGATGATATACTTGCTGGAGAAGAATCGAAGGTGAAACCGCTTGATTGCTTCCACAACCCATCGAGGCCGCACTCCAGTACTGCTACCGCAAGCTGTTGGAAAAGTACGTCGATCTTTACTATGGGCGCTTAGGAATAATTTATCTTGCTGATTTTATCCTGCCACTTCGCGCTGACTACAAACCGACTCACGCAAAGCCCTACGCCGTGCCTCGTTGCCAAGAAGATTCTACCTACGGCCAGATACAGCGCTTGCTTGAACGCGACGTAATTGAGCAGATTTATGGAGCAGAAGCAGCCGCACCGACATTTATTTCTGACAAAATCCAATGGTACACTTCGTCTGCTAGTGGACTTTCGTGGATTAAACAGATTTCTACGAAGATCTCCGTATTACGATTCTAAGATACGAGAAATACTGATAAGGCTCAGCAAGGCCAAGTGTATGAGCACGCTAGACGCAAACATGGGTTACTTTGCCAGACGATTTGTTAAAGAAACTCGGGCTGTCACTGCTTTCTGTCTCCCTTTTGGGAAATTTCAGCTCAAACGACTGCCCATGGGTACCTCGACGGCTCCATACGAGTATCAAGCCTGTATTCAGCGCATATTAGAAGATCTGCCTTTCGTCATTGTCTATTTGGACGACGTGCTGATATTTTTCGAGAATCCCACGGAGCACTTGCAGCACTTACGAATTGTCTTCGATCGTTTGCGCCATGTCGATGTCACGCTTAATGCTCGGAAATACCATATTCTACGAGAGCGTGTCGATTATCTCAGGTTTACGCTGACACCTGATGGAAACCAGCCACAGAGCAAGAAAGTAGAAGCAATATTGTTGATTGTGGAACCTCAGAACAAGGCGCTGCGACGTTTCCTCGGGATGATCGCTTACTACAGAGAGATGGTTCCCAACACGCCATCGTTGTCGGCACAGCTGAGCAGGTTGACGTCGAAGGAAATACCGTTTACGTGGACCCCGGAAGACTTAACAGCATTCCAAGCTGTAAAAGCAGCGCTAGCTCGCAGTGTATAACTGGCATTTCCCGGCTACGAGCGCACATTGTATGTGTTTGAGACGGCAGTGTACGCCAAATCGGTGGTATCATACTGCAAGGAAAACGGATCCTGGCCTGTTTTTTGCGTACGATGACAGAAACCCAGCGCATAGCTAACGCTTTAAGCACTCCACCTGAAATAGCCCACAATGGAGTGGGAGCTTTCTCTCTAAGGTCGAAATTCTCAAGGAATACCGTGCGATGTTGCTAGGATTCCCCATGGTGGTTTAAACGGACCATAAAAACCTACTTAGAGGAGAATTTACGTTGCGTCAAACGTTACAAGTTACTGCTGGAAGAATATCGACTCACCGTGGAATACATCCCAGGATTCCAAAATGTTGGAGCCGACGATTTTTCCCGTTTCCGTCATCATTTCGTGAACCAAGTGACAGAAGCCGAGCTGTGTGCATTAAAAGAAGAAGAAGTTGCGTTTGATGTCGCTGTATTAAAGAAATATCAACTGGAAGATTCAACTCGCGAAGCAGTCATTAAGCGACTAGAGCAGCGCAACACTGATCCCAACTACGTGCTCCGTCCAGCGCTCGGAGCGGCTTTACTTCATTTCCGAAAGCACGTTGATCTTACGTTTCTTGAGCGCCCGTTACATTTTTTCGGTGGAAGCTTGCATGCACCTGCTCGACTTCACGATATAGGAGAAATCCACGCGGTGACACAGCTAACCGTTCATCTCGAGTCAGGGCAGACTGTTTGCTTCCGCGAGACGGAAAATTCGGAGGCAGTTTTGGAGCGTGGTAGTCACACGATACTGACCAGATTCTTTGAGCTATGTGCAAGTCAAGAGCCTCAAAACCATATTGCCAGAACGATGTTGTATCAGGGCATCGCTAAAGAGTTCTGTTGGAAAGCGCCTGAGAAAGGGCAACAGAAAAGGTGGGCTCGGCGGAAACAGTATCAGGTTATGGTTGGTTGTATGATTCACGGGTCTCCTCGAGTTGCTCTGTCTCCGGCTACGGCTCGGTCAACGTAGAGGCTGGCTACTTGAAGAATGACAACGAGTGGGTTTCATGTTTGACAGAAGCTGTTGAGTTCCAAATGCCGCATCAACTACGCCAGGTTTTTGTCACCATTCTGGTGTATTTCGCTCCAGCAATGTTGGTGCTCAATGGCGTCGATTCTTCGTTAATCTTTCCCAAGACTTCGAACGCAAACATCAGACTTTGATGGACCCTTTCAAGTCGGCGCTGGTAGAATTTGAAACACTGGTGATCATTCAAGAGCTACTTTAAGCGAACGGGTATGCGGTAGCTGCATTCGATGAGCTTCCTCAGTTACGGTGTCGTTCCTCACAATTAATCGTGAATTGCTTCGCCAAAACGACTTACTTCGACGTGAGCTCACTGGATACGATGAGCCAGCTTTAAAGGCGATTCTAAACACAGAAGATCAGCTGAACGAAGGTCAGCAGGTAGAGTACGACCATGTTATTAAAGCGGTAGACTGTCCCCAGCAAGGCAAGAAGTTATTGTTTGTCGATGACCCGGGTGGTACTGGAAAGTCTACATTGCTTCGAAGCATACTGGTCAAAGCCGGGAGAATCTGGCGGAAACCTGCTGAAAGTACGAAAGCTTTCCCGCCAAAAGGATCGGTATCGTTGTCAAGTA